TAAGGGCGTGGGGTGGTTGGAGGGTGTATACTTCGGCCCAAAACGATTGGTCTGCCGAGATGTTTGTGGTGTCTGTTGGTGCAGGTTGTGAGGGTGGGGAAAGTGGGTTGGGTGGAGGTTGCTGCGGGGATGTTGGATCCTGCACTTGTGGAGGTGTTTCCTCCGGGTCTTCATTGAAGACGAATAGAACCTCAGACTGCTCATCATAGTCAGTGCGCCGCTCCATTGACAGCTAAGTGTGGAGGCGGTGCACGGTTGCAGGTAACGATCACGAGTTTGAAAAAACGGCTGCGGTCCGATGGAACAAACCTGCCTGTGGGAGTGCGAGGTTGGAAACAGGTGTCAATCCAAGTAGAAAGGATAGGAAAAAGTAGCAAAAGTCGAAAAGTGGTAAGTAAAAAACTGAAAGGAGGTGGCGTTCTTTTTAGTCATCACACGCTGTGTGAAGGTGCGGGGTGAGACTATGAGCTGCTGTGGCGTGAGTTGAGCTCGGCCGCGGCTGCAGCAGCGGCTTGGCGCGCAATCCGCAGGATAGTTTGTTGGAGCGTGGCCGCCTGCTGCTCTGTTAGTGGCGCATCGGGGATGGGGGGTACCGGTGGGAAAACTGTAGTGGTGTTGGCTGCTATGAGGGCGAGCGCGAGGATTGGCCATGACAAGTGATGGAATGTGATGGCGTATAAAAGGCTGCAGAGCTGAGGTGAGCCTGAAAACTGTAAAGTCAAAGGTGGGCAACTGGGTGAAACATAAATTGGGTGTGAATAAACACAATTCAGTGCATGTCAGCTGATTTGTCGTGTGGCACGCCGTAAGGAAAGTGGGTGAAACGGATCAAATGAAATAGCTGCCAACTGGCGTGAGTGGAGATTTCTCCGGATGACTGTCCTCACTAAGCGGTCGCTCAGCAGCCGGCGGCAGCGGCGCAGCAGCTGGAGTCGTTGGGTATTGTGAAGTCGGTGGTGTTGTGGTGGGGGAAGGGGAGAAGTCCGGTTGCGAGTGTGGTGCTGGGGAAATTGCTGGTGATGTAGGTGTTGGTGAGGGGGAAGGCGCTTGCCGTGGTGGTGCAGGTGGTGGTAGTGTGGAGAAAAGTTGCTGGTCTTGCTGTCGTTGCATGTCTTTGAGTTCTTGCCAGCGGGCTTGGCATTGTGCAACGGAGAACCCGACCCGGCGGGCCACAGTAGCCCAGTTGGGACGAAGTTTTGGGTTTTCTTTGAGTTCAATCAGGCGACAATCAGCGTCGCCGTCCCAAGCGTCCCAGTCTGCGTTTTGGTTCAGTGGTGGTGGGGGTGGTTGCTTTCGCTTGCGTGTTGTGGTGGGTTGTGGATCAGGGGGTGTTGCTGGAGTGTCGTCTGAATCCTGTAAGGGTGGTGCTGGTGAGCGGATGAGTGGTCTGGATGGTGCTGAGTCGCAGGATGAGGTGGTGGATGGTAAACGTATGGGGTGATTGGGTGGAGTTGGAAGTGGCTGAAAGTGTTGGCGGAAAGTGGGGTCTGCTTGGTGGCTGTGATGGAGGAAAACCGTGTGGAGGTGTGCTACAATATCTGTTGCTTGTCGGAGCAGGTTGTGCACCTGGGAAAGTGCCACTGCGGTTTTGTGTAGGAGAGTTGTGGTGTCGTTTTGTAGAGGTGTCAGCTTGCTGCTCATGTGGCTGAGATGTAGGGGTGTGCAGTAGTCAAGAATCGTCACAGGTTGCTGCAGCAGCGCGCCAAAGCAGCCGGAAAGCGGCGAGTCTGAGGAAGCACATCATTCCGAGGCCGTGCGTATGAATTAAGCGAGCATCAAATTCCCACAGGCAAAAGGATGAATACACAATGCAAATTGGACAAGCGAGTACAAGGCTTAAAATTCACTCTCCACGATGCAGAAACTGACATGTGAAAGAATCCTGCAAAACAGCCGAAACGATTCAAAAGATTCTCAGCAAAAATTGCGGAGCTAGAAGAATGAAGGGTTCAAAAATGCCCGTGGTTGCTGCAAGAGGCTCTTTTTTTGCTGTTACAGCAAAGGTTGGGTGGTGGTGTGAGACCGAAAGTGGATGTGGAGGTGGTAGTGTTGTGTTGATGTGTGGCAGTGGTGTTATGGGTCCGGTGGGGTGGAGTTGGTAGACCAGGCCAGTCCTTTGACGATGGCGTGGTCGGGGTGGATCACCCAGCAGCGGCCTTTCTGATGAAAGACCGCACCATGGTGGTCGTTGAGGAGGTTCATGGCGTGCTCCTCACCTCCAGAGGTATACTTTGTGGCGGCACCCCAAGCAAGGAGTGTGATGATAAGGGAATGGGAGTTCTTGTGGAGTTGCCAGGTGTTGTGGATGATGCGGGCAAGTTCGTTGTGGTCATGGGGTTGGTTGTGGGTGATGCGAACGCCCTGGGCAAAAAATCCAGGGTAGTTGGCAAAGTGGAGTGTGCTGGGTAGAAAACGGCCTTGGCGTAGAATGTTGGAAATGTTGCCGACGGGGCCTGTGTGGCCTGCGTTGATGTGGGCAACTTCTCGGTGGGTTGATGTGGCGCGGGAAACCGCAGGTGGCTCGGGTGTAGTGGCTTTGGTGTTGAGGAAGGGAAGTGAAATGGCAAAGTATTGGAATTGGTCGTATTGGTGTGTTGTGTCGTTCCACTTAGTGTGGGTGTATTGGCGGAAATCGTTGATCTCCTTGTAGGAGATGTTGCAGTCTGTGAGGATATTGGCAATGTACTGGTGCTGTGGTCTGTTGGGATTGTCGAGTTGGGTGGCGTGGAATTCGAGCCATTCCAGGATTTGGTCTGCGGGTGTGAGGGTGTGAAAGTTGAGTGGAGGTCGCCAACGGTTGAGTGGGCGACGGATGACGGCTGTGGTGGGATATTGAGAGGGGTCAGGGTTTGCGTGTTCGGTGTTTGGGCGTAGATCAATGGGTGGTGGTGGGGATCGACTGCGGGCTGGTGTGAGGCTAGATGTGTAGGTGGATGTGGAAGGCGAGCGCCGTCGCCTGGTTTTGCTGTGGTGTTTGGAATGGTGGTGATGGCGATGTCGGCGGCGGTGGCGGTGGCGTCCTCTGTGGTGATGGTCGGACTTGCGTCGGCTCTTGTGATGGTGGCGGCGACTGCTGTGTGGTGGTTGTGGGGAAGGTGGTTGTGGCGCTGGTGAGGCAGTGGTGTCAGGTTTGTCTGATGCTGGGATTGAAGGTCCCGGTGCTGGTGCGGCAGGGACCAGCGAGGGGGATGCTGAATGTTGGGATACGGTGGCCGGTGTGTTTTGGACTGGTAGTGGATTGTCCTGGGCAGTCGTGGGGATGGGTTGGATCGGTGGTGCTGGATCCGATGGTAGCTGCTGTTGAAATGGAGGTTGGGTTGGCGTTGAGGCAGTGGTAATGTGTGGAGGCGGTGGTGGGGGTCCCGGTTGGAGTGGATGTTGTGTGACGGGGGGAAAAGCTGAATAGGGTTGCCAAACGCCCTGGGGGATGGCACATTGGGGATCTGTGGATGGATAATTGGCAATCGCAGTCTGTTGTTGTGTTAGAGAGGGATGTGTCAGTGTGGTGGGGGGAGGAAGTTCGGCTGGTGGTGTGGGATGATGTGGTGGTATCAGGTAGGACGGGGGAGGTGCTGCTGTCGGAAACACTGGAGCTGGATGTGTGGGTTGCGGTGGCACGTGACATGGGGGGACAAAAGTCCAAGTGGATGGTGTGCCGTAGGTCAGTGCGGTAGCAGTAGGGGTGGATAAAACCGGTTGTGGTTGAAATGGCTGTGGTTGTGGGTGAGGGTATGCCGATGGTTGTGTTGTGGGAAAGGTGGGTGCAGTTGATGGCTGCGGCAGCGGCCATGTGGGTTGAGGTTGTGTGGTAGGTAGTGGTGGTGGCGTGGTGTGAGCATAGGGCCACGGAAAATGCATGTCGTGGTCGTAGCTATGGCTCGGCGCGGCGCGGCAGCAAAAGGCAGCGAAGAAATGCCGAGTGGTGTTGTCTTGTTGTTGTTGAAGGTGTCAGGGCTGGTGTCGGTGGTGGGAAAGTTGTAAGGTGATGCTAAGCGTTAGCTTGTTGGTAAGTGTGTGTTCATGCATCTCGAATTAAGCTGAAGAGTTGCAATGCCCTTCCTTGAGTGCTGTTGATGAGAGAGTCGCGGCAGCAACATAACGAACACCTAAACATGTACATGAAATCAAAAATCAGAAGTTCTGAGTCTGATGGATTTGTCGAAAACCGTTTTTTGGCCCGGCGGCCGTTGTGGCAGTTGATTCAAAGAGGGGGTCGGTGCTTTCCTGTGATGTTCCAGTGATCGGTGGAGCGTTGGGGTGGTTGCTTTCCCATGCAAAAACAGCGCCCCTGTGAAGGGGATCACACTCAGCACCCGAGTGGGACGGCTGAGCAGGACACACTTCGAACTTTGATTGTCAGTTAATGCAATCTCCCGAGGAAAAGAATGGCTCAACGGTAAGGTGGAAAGTCAGCGCAATTGTAGATGTTTGAACAAATGGTTTTGGCACATCTGCAGTTCACAAGAATAGCGGTGTCGAGCGATCAGTGCGGCTGCACATCTGCGGTGGGAAAAGGTTTTGGGGTCTATCATGAGAAAAACCATGGAACCAACGAACAGCAGCAGGGTGGACCATTGGTGTCAATGTGTTATTCTGCAGGTACAGGATCAAGCGTCCTTGATCCCTTCCCATCTGTGGTCGTAGCTTCGTTGCGTGCAGTGGACCACAGATGCTGCACGCCCCTGCTTGTGGAGTGGTGGTGGTGGAAAAACCCTTTGTCCAGGGTGGGACACACACACACACACTGACACACATTTCCACATTTCCATTTCCACATGTCCATTTCCACATGTCCATTTCCACATTTCCATTTCCACATTTCCATTTCCACAGTTTCGATTATTCCATTCTGTCTGCACATTGCATCACATATCCCATTTCCTTTTCCACATCTCGACCTTTTTTCCACATGTCTGAACAGTCCCACATTTCAAGCATTTTTCACCTTTCTGCTCAAGTTGGGGCAATTTTTGTCACAGCGCTGTCGCGGCTTTTGAACCATGGGTGGGGATGGAGGCGGTGACAGCGCTGCAGAGCTGCTGGCTTTGGAGGACGCCACGGCTGCTGCAGAGGCCAGAGTGACTGAAGAGGCTGAAACTGAGACTCCAGGCGCAAAAGCAAAAGGGATTGCAGCAAAAGGCAAAGCCAAATGCAAGCCCAAAGCAAAAGGCATAATGAAAAGGCCGGCGGCGCAGAATGCATCGTCGCGCAAGAAGGCAAAAGCAGAAGGCCGCCATGATGAAGAAGAGGAGACGGCCATGAACGAGGAAACGGAAGAGAATGAAACTCTGCCGGAGGAAAAAAAGAAGAAGGAGAACAAGAAGGAAACGGCAAAGAAGGAGAACAAGAAGGAGAACAAGAAGGAGAACAAGAAGGACGAGAAGGCAAATGATAAGGACAAGAAGGAAAAGAAAGAGAAGGAAAAGAAAGAGAAGGAAAAAAAAGAGGGCCAGGAAAAGAAGACAGGCAAGAGCAAAGACGAAGAGAAGGCCAAGCAAATCCAGCTGACCCAAAGCAGCGAGGATGAGGAGGAACCAAAGGCGCCTGGAACGGAGACCGCTGAAGAGAAAAGAGACACAAAGAAGGCCTATGTGTTCAACAAGATGCTGCACACTTTGCCAGAACAAGTGCAACAGATCTTTGCAGACAAGCAAATTTCTCGACAGGAAAAAACAAAACTAGTGAACTCAATGGTGGAAGTGAACGAGCACGGGAAGCATGTGCTGAAGAAAGTGGAGGATTGCGATGTCGCTATGGCCATGAGCCGACAATATAGGATTACAAAAGGCAAAGAAAAAGCAAAAGGCTATCCAAGATGTGTGATTGCCGCAAAGCTAGGTGGAGAGATGCAATTGGAACGGGCGTTGCAGTCTGGAGAGGTCATCCCCGTGGAGGACAAGGGCAAGATCTTTTACTGCATTCAGAGCATTTCCATTAGCACAGAGACAGGCAATCAGCAAAGTGTGCAGATGCAGCAAGCTCCTCGACAGCTGCAGGACTCAGAGCAGGACGCACTTACGGCCTTTTTCGACAACTTTGAGCCGGCCTTTGGATCGGCTGCATCGGCTGATGGTTTTTTTGGTTCTCAGCGCAGCCAGCCCAAGCAACCAAAGCGCTTGATGGATGGCATGTCGTTGGCCGGCCAGCAAAGCGGTGGAAGCTTGGGTTTGATTTTGTCAAAGTTTTCCTTTTGAGTTATGTCCATCTTTCTTTAAATATATGTTCAAGTTATGGCATGCTGTCGATCCTTGCAAGGCCAGATGCAATTGGCCCTCATGGACGCGCCATGTTCATCTGCGGCAGCTGCTCCTGCAGACCCTGCCATTTCTTTGCCAGAGAATGTCATGGGAAAAGTGGGTGATGCTTTGGAGTGGGTCAAGAAGGCTAAGGAGTCAGTGAAGAAGGTTTTGCAATCACCTGTGTCTGGACACACAGGGCAAGCCCTCAAGAGCCAGCTCAAGTCAAAGATCGAGATGGTGTTGCGCCACCAAATGGCTTTGGAGGAGTTCCGCATCTGTGCATCGGCGCCGATGAGCGCAGTCAGGCAGTGTCTCCAAGAGACCACCCAGTGCTTGGTCGAAGTCCAGGAGTTGATCAGAGCCATCCATGCCTTAGGTTAGTTTTGTCCAGCGAGGACGCAGACCTTCTATAGAAAGATGGGGAAAAGAGCTGTCATTTTTCAAATTGCCATTTCCACTTGTCCACATTTCCATTTCAACCATGTCTCCACATTTCCACCAAACATAATTCCGCATTTCCCACATTTCCTATATGTCCGCATTTCCCACATTTCCAACCGTCGTTGGTCATTGGTCTCTTTTCCTCACAGGACACTCTCATATATGTCTCCTGCAGCTTGGGTTCCAGCCTCCTAGACTCATTCTTGTTTAGATCCATCGGATCCATGGTGAAAGGAGTGAAGTCAAGCAAAGGTTCTCGCCGTCCAGGACCCCTACCCAAGGTCAAGGCGGCGCCGGCACCGCAACCAGAGCCTCCGCAAGGGCAAGGAATGCTTTTGAGGTTCGATGGCGCCGGGTACCAGGTCCTTGATGCCCAAGCTCCAGGAGCTGCAGTTTCTTCGGGCGCCCTTCCCATCTTGGCTGCTGTGCAGGCCTTGCTGTTGAAGAAATCCCTGGAAGGGATGACCCAAGATTCTCCCTCGCCGACCGACGATGAGAACGCAGGTGAATCAGGAGCAGGCGATGCAAGCGCGGCAAGCTCCCATGAACGTGTTGCGGCTGATTTCATTGCAGAGCAGCAAAAGCAGGACGTCGACATGGAGAAGGGCCCAAAGAAAGATGCCAACAAGTCGAAGGAGGGCATCGTGGACAAGTGCTGAATCTGAGAGCCCAAGATGTGCTGGTAGTTTTGACAGAGCACTTTTTCCAACGTTTAGACTCTGACAAAAAACTGCTGTCACCTAATTTCCAAGATTTCCTGATTTCCAAGATTTGTTCACTTTCCATTGTCTGAGAGTCCGAGAATTTCCAAGATGTTTCATTTCCATTGTCTGAGTGTGAGTCTCCAAGATATTTCATGTTCATTGTCTAAGAGATCCAGAGTTTCCAAACCATTTCATTTCCACTAAGAGATCCAGAGTTTCCAAGACACTTCATTTCCATTGTCTGAGCGCCCGAGAGTTTCCAAGTATATTCATCAACAGATGAGTCATTTTCATTTCCACTTGTCCACATTTCCACCAAACATATTTTGATTTCCATTTCAGAAAGTCTGAGACCTTTGCTGCGGTGGCCCAAGCAGACCTGCCAGCTGTCCAAGGAGTAGACAGCAGTAAAGTACCCAAATGCCCGAGGATTCCCCAAGGCGCGAGGAATCCCCAATGGCTGACGCAAGCAACCCTGGAAAGACTCAGAAGTACTGCGCGCCTAGGACTGTATTGTTGGTATTCGTACTCTTATTTCTCAATGTGTTGTTTTTTTAAACATTCGCTCCAAGTCCGAGGTATGGGTGGGCGCCAAAGGATCGCCTACGGGATCAACTCTAAATGACCTGTACAACCTGCTGAATGACTTCCAGCCTGTGGAGGTGCACAACCGCGAGTGGGGAGGCAAGGGCTACGCCATCGTGAAAACAAACTCAATCGAGAAGGCGTGGGACTTGTTCAACTACTTGAAGATCCTGGGGTGGAACCTCGGCAAACTTGGATGCCCCACCCAAGAATGTCGAGGAGCAGTGGTTCGATGCCCACCCCTGCAGGCTGTGGAAGGATATCCATGGAACTCACAGCGACTGCAGGTGAAGATCGAAAAGCATGACCAGAAGCCCATGGAAAGTCATGAAGAGCAAGCACTACCTGTACAACCTGCTGCGGATGGAGGCAAGGAAACCGACCAGCAGGAGACTGATGCAGCAGACCAGGATGGCAACGCAAACAAGGACGACCAGGACGACAAGGACGACAAGGACGCGGACACGGATGAGAGGGCCTTGGAGGATAAGGATAAGGAGGATGTGGAAGCAGAGCAAAAGGGTGATGAACAACGCGGTCACAAGCGAAATCTCGGTGCAGCCACAGATCTTCCGAATCTTGTCTTTTCATTCGCTTAGGCTACCTGAGAGCTAGCTTTGTCTAATTTATTTGAATGTCTGTCTGAGCCTCCGTTTTCAGAGGGTTCGTCACTTAAATCATATATGTTGTCTGCAGGAATGATGTTCCTCCTCCAGGGCAATTTGATGAACGAAAGACAAAAAAAGCCAGGCACAGTGTTCTTCTCATAGCTCATTCCAAGCAAGTATTTATTTCTATACATTTTCTTCTCCTGTGCAGGCAGGATGCGGACACAGAGAGCCCGACTCTGTGTTTGGACGACGATGAATCAGATGCTGGTCCACGAGTGAGTTTCAGGAGACGGTTGCTTGTTGACAGGTTTCTGCTATTTTGATGGCCATGACCCTGCAGGAGGTGCCTCAGGAACATGAAGGAGAACATCGATATGGCGCAAAGCTGCTTGTCCACTTGCAAAGCGATCTACCGCCGCCTGCAGCGGCAATACGATCTATGAGGACAGGCCCCCATCATGCTCCCATTCATCACAGCTATATATATTGTTCAAAGAAATTCTGGAATCTTCTTCAAGACATCCACAAATGTTTGATCTTCTCGATCCAAACCTCTGAACTTGGTAGTTATCCAATTAAGCTTTTCTTTCAATTTCACGCACGTGAGCTCTTTCTTTCAAATTGTTATCATTAGTTTTACAATAGTGTTTAATATATATTTCAAAGTTTCATCAAAGTTTTGTAAAACTTTGAAATATGGATTTCAAAGTTTTGTCAAACTTTGACGAAACTTGGAAATTTGAAATCAAAGTTTCATCAAAGTTTGACTTGATGAGTCAAAGTTTAATCAAACTTTGATTTAGGCATTTCAAACTTTGACCAAAGTTACAATACGAAAATCAAAGTTTGATCAAAGTTTGATTGTACATATCAAACTTTGACAAAACTTTGATATCATTTCAAAGTTTCATTAAAGTTTGATATTCTCAATAAAACTTTGATCAAAGTTTACTTTTGAAATCAAAGTTTGACTAAACTTTGAAATCTTGAAATCAAAGTTTGATTAAACTTTGAATTCTCCAGTCAAACTTTGATGAAACTTTGATTTTGGAATTCCAAGTTTCGTCAAAGTTTGACAAAACTTTGAAATCCATATTTCAAAGTTTTACAAAACTTTGATGAAACTTTGAAACAAATTGTGCGGCACCTTGTCTATTTTCATTTTTTCATACAATTCCTTGCTCAATTTCATCAATTTGGCGCTTTCCGTGGTCCCTGCGCAGGAGCGTGGATTTCCAGAAGCCGTGAGTTCTTCCAGAGGAAAGGACAAAAAAAGGTTGCTTGCGTCTGCGCACGAGACTTTTCCAAAGTTTCCAAGGCAATTTCCAGAGAGATTTCCAGAGAGTTGTCCGGAGAGTTTTCCAGAGAGTTCTTCAAACTTTCAAGAGAGTTTTCTGATATTTTCCATAGAGAGTTTCCAAGGAGAGCTACCTGTCAGATATTTTACAGAATGTCCATGTCAGCTTGTGGCCCAAATGAAACTACAGGAAACAAAACATCGCTGGCTCAAGTTCACACGACATCGGAGTTACACATTGGTATATTGTTCACACAATGTTCAATCAACCTCATGGAATTACACATCGGTAGACCATAGTCCCAGTCTTTTACCTTCAGGTTGTCACTCCCATGAGCGAGGTCTCACAGTATGCGCTTTCCAGAGGCGGCGCTTCACAAAAGGCAAAAGCATTTGAGGAACAACACTTCAAGAGTGTAAGGTCTCCTACTCATTTGTCAGATTTGCTTATCCAGCTCTTTGTCTGGGGCCAAGTCCCTGCAGTATTGGTTCAGCAAATTGCGGCTGCTGCCATCGAAGACGTTGAAGAAGCTAAAGGGCCAACAATCAGATCGTGGGCAATTCTAGCTGGATTGGGAAGCAAAGGCCTTCATACCAACAATGTGAACCGGGACTTGCTGCGCAAACTGGACAAGCCAAGTTTTATGCTTTCCTGGCATGGTATTCCACAAAGGGCTGCTGCGACCAAAGGCAGCGTGGGGCGCACAGCCATTCTCAGGCTTCCTTTGTTGTTGCCTCGAGATGTATGGTGTAGCATTTGGAAGTCGGGGACCTTCAAGCAGTTCATTTGTCACACTGTCAGCGATTTGGAAATCTTTTGGCAAAGCACGGACACGCACCCGGCCGTGCAGCATCACCCAATGAAACAAATAGAAAACTGGCGGCGGCGCGCTGTTCCTTTATCTCTGCATGGGGATGCGGCAGCGATTACTCTTGGTCTAGGTTCTTCCAGCAAAAGCTGTTTATTCTTGAGCTTCAAGTCTATGGTTGCCAGAAAAACATTCCAACACTTTCTGCTTGCAGCAATTTGGTCACATTGCACGGTGAAGACTGAGACTGGGGCCTTCAACACCAGCAAGAGTCTCTTCAGAATAATCTCAGATGACTTCCTGCAAATGCTGTCGGATGAAGGTAAATACAGCGATGGCTACTTCCCAGTGGTTCTGTTCACGACCGGCGACCTTGAATATTTCGCTGATTGGCATGGTTTGCCCCGATGGAATTCCAAACGACCATGTGCATTCTGCGCTATTTCCAATCGTGAAATTGGAAATTGGAAATTTGTGACAGCTTTGGAACCAGATCCATGGCAAACGCCACGAACTTCTAAATGCCCTCTCTTCAGGAGCCTCGTATCTCCTCAGGGAGTTTGCCCAGACTATATGCACACAAAGCACCTGGGCACAGATTTGCGTTTCCTAGGCAGTGTTTGTTGGCTGCTGCTCATGACTTTGATGCCAGATGTGCTTCTGCTGGAAGACCGCCTTCAGACATTGCTTGCAGAACTAAAGGAGTATTGGTCAATGAACCAAATGCCTATGGGAATCAACGCCTTGACAACAGGCATGGTGATGGCTGTCAACGACAAGCAGTGTTGGAAGACCTATCCAAAATTGAAAGTAAAAGCCAATGAAGCAGCTCTATCTCTCCCAGCGTTCAAAGCTATTTGGGAGAAGAGAATGAATGGCAGTGAGCAAAGCCATATTTGGGTAAAACTTGCGCTGGAAGCCACTTGCAATATGG